ACCCCAAAACCCCAAAACCCCAAAACCCCTATTTTTCAATTTATACTGAAGCAATGAAGTTTTATTTATCACTATTATCTTCGAACTTTGACTCATCAAACTTGAGAATTAGTGAAGATACTGGATGAGAATCCTCGTCTTGATTCTCATCAGAATTAAAGGATTTCCTCTCTGGCTCTAATTTAAGATCCATGCTAATAGGACAATGGTCGCTCCCGAGGATCTCATCATGAATTTCAGATTGTATAACTTGATCTATCATACTTTTAGAGGTTACAAAATAGTCGATCCTCCATCCATCATTGGTCGATCTCAAATTTTTCCTTACTGACCAGTAAGTATACTTCTTTTCAGTTGGATTAAGATGTCTAAAGGTATCTACAAAGCCTTGTTCTAAAATATTTGAGAATGATTTCCTCTCCTCATCTGAAAATCCAGGGTTACTTTTATTGCCTAAAATTAGTGGTAAACTCACCAATTGGATCATGGATGTCAATCTCTTCATGTGCAACCTAAACCTATGAGTGATTATCCTTACATTAAGATCTCCTCACCAAATAACTGGCTTTCCTTTCTCTTCTAGTCTTTTCAGATGCTTGGTTAGATCAGCATCCCATTCCTCGACTCTGAAATTACAGTAAAAATTACCTGTAGCTAAGCCTTTTCAGCCCTTGGCCTGAATTTGGGACATAAGTTGAGACTAAAAAGTGAGTTTGGCAAATACCCAGATAAAATTTCTCAAATTCCAGTGTAATGCATCTTCCCTCTTTATTATGTGTCCCAAAATCCTTTGAAATGCGCAATGGCTTTACTCCTTTAACAAATACTGCTGTGCCAGAGTACCCCTTTCTTGGGGGTTTACAGCAGTTCCAAACTTGGTAATATTCTTTAGGAAAGTACTTCTTGATATTCATCTTGAGTAGAGTATCCTGATCAATTTTAGTCTCATAAAGGCAAAGAATATCTGGGGTATGTTGTTCTAGGAAAGTCTTGAGAACCCCTTTGGTTAGGAATGCTCTAATACCTAATTTTGAGATAAAATTTTACCGTTGATATTCCAAGCCCAAATCTTGATGTCCTCTTGCTCAAAATCATCTTTGAATTTGTACTAAATAATAACAAGTAAAAGCACTTCTTCAACATTTGATTTGAAAACTAAATTTAGATGGAAAACTTACATCTCTGAAGCATTGCTTGCGACTTCTTTTCTACAGAATTTACTGATGGAAATTACTCTGAGTTTCCTTAGTGCTTGTTGTTGTATTTTTACTCCCATACTTGCTCTCCTCACTAAAATAAGAATGAGAATCTCAGAGAATGCTTACAAATTTTTATAAGTTCTTTTGCGGGACATTTTTTTTAATTTTCAATAATTTTTATCATTTTAGGGGTTTTGGGGTTTTGGGGTTTTGGGGTTTTGGGGTTTTGGGG